TGATTGGTTCGTTTTCTCATGCATTACGCGTTATGCACGACTTCGGCCCATAGAGAATCTCGGTGTCGCCGGCACTTTAATCATCTTATCGCGTTAATATTTGGTCTCTCGTCGAGTCCATCCCCGAAGGGCTGAGCGGTAAAACCTACGTGAACTCTGAGTGGGCAATTATTCATTCGTTCCTCAGAGCCTCTGAAAGTTTTGGAGAGTAAGGATGAGATGATAGCGACGTAAACGAGATAAAGCCGTAAAGAAGAGCGGGCACCACAGGCAAAAGGCAAAGAGGGCTATCGTCGACGGCGCATAGTCTCACGTTCCAGGAAGTTGGCCGGCGATGGATATCCGCACGGACCATCTTGTACTCTATCGATACAGCGTACCTTGCCTGGCGCTGTGGCCTTTCTTTCGTCTCCTCTCTCAACTCCGAGCATTCCGCATTTTTTTTTTTTTTGCATGCCTTACTCCTCTCCGTAGTTCGCCTCCTTTCTAACAATTTTCATCACGCGATTGGCACCGTGCAACTTCCCTCCCGAGATAAATACCGAAGACCCGTCCCGCGAGGCCGACTTGTCATTTTTCGAGACAAATGCATTTTGCGCTTGGAACGATTATTGACAGATGCAAAAAATTTACGAAATATCGTAATGGCCCCTTTTTGGACAGAACGCAACAGTTTTTTTCCTCGCGTAAGCGATTTAAACGAGGCCGGATATTGGAGTGGAAGTTGGAGCCACAGAGAGATGCGAATCTTTCTTCATTTACATATTAATTAACGGACAGGATTACGAAGGGAAAGTGCAAATTCGCAGAAGTGAAGAGACGCGCACAATCGTCTCGTGGCACAGAAAACATTGTTAATGAGGTACCGCGCGCAATGTGGGGCCTCGTTTACTACCACTGCGATTGCCGTAGAGCAAAGATGCATTCGCGTTCGCGATCGGTGTACAAATTTATGCGCTGCCGAAACAAGAGGAAACAACATTTTTCATAATCCAGACCAAGTTATCTCCGTGGCACGTAGAGATCGCTCCTATTTCCCAGAGAGAACGTCTCGTTCCTAGAAAATCTCTCTCGAGGCCGCGTTTATTCGTGATTGAAGGATGCAAACCGCGGGAAGGGGGAGGAAAGTTGAGCAAACACGGATTACAGCTATGTCAATCGACGAAAGAGCGCGATGTTACTTTCTAGGAAGAGACTTCGTCGTAATCATAGAGCTCCGCTCGGAATCGGATCTACGGGATTACTACTCGATACCCGGAAAGTCGTTACGCGTTACGCCCATTCCTCGTAAAATCGCGCGATGTATCATTACGCGCGTTTATTGCCAAAGCGCAAGGCCTTTTATCGACCATTTTGCAGACGGGGGTACGATTGCCGGAGGGAGCGAGCGCGGCGCTCGCAAAACCGACCAAATATCACTACTATCCGCACAATCAGCATATCTACCTGCTGCCGGAATGCGCCGTTCAGCAGGTGTGCAACGCCGTTTACGTTCGATTGAACTTCACGCAACCGCTGTGCGCCTGTCCCGGAAGGTACCGGGATCCTTGCAGCGCATCCTTGGACAGCGACGACCTGCACACGACCGAGCTGGTGACCGATCCGCGAACCAAGGTTAGTTGGAAGGCTCCCCCTCGAACGATCGAGGGAGTTGAGTTTTATCATTATATCCTATTTTGTCATTTCGAAAGAGAGAGTTTACCCCTATACAGTGCAAAATTTTTCTCATTTTCGTTAGAAACGATCCACTCGAAATCTTTGTTAAAATTTTCTATGAAATTTTTAACATGTTCAAGTACTACTAATTTAATTTAATATGATTGTGTTATTGAAATATATTTTGTGTTAAATCGATATTCAACGTTTGTTAATGTCAAAAGGGCGCGATTTAGGAGTAAGTAAATGAATAACGTGAAATAACGTTTGAAACTGTAAAATAAATAAATAGAAAATACGTGTTAATTTAACATGTCATCATAAATGTTAATTTTACTATAAAAATATGCCTTCACAGTTTACAATTGTCTGTCAGTGTGACATTTTTTTTAAATCTTTTTACACATTTGTTACTTTTTAGCACGTTCATCTTGTGTTAAATTAACACGAAAATTTGAGTGAATCGTTTGAGACACATAAAATGTGTTAAATTTAAGACAAATTTTCGAATTGCATATAACAATCGTTATCCTTCGTCCGAGTCTCATTATTAAGACAAAAAAATGGACATCGTACAAAATCTACAAAAATAACAAATATGCGATCGCGAGATATTTTTAGCAGTTTTTGCAGTAAGAAAAACGAAGAAATCATGGATACGGTCGTTTATTCGTTCGACGCGTTTGCGAATTACGGATGTATAAACGTATGAAAAACGCACGTATGTATAAACGGATTGAGGTGTTTCCGTTCGAGTTGCAAAACTAAAAGTTGCTGTTCCTCTAGCAACGATGTGTTTTATTTGAACGTTTTCAAGCATTAAGCTATTACGGAAACGGTACCGAGGCATGGCGCCATTCCTATGGCATGACCAACCGGCTGCTGATTCTCTGAGAGAAGCTCTCTCAGAACTCGCTCTTAACGCGAGTTTCCTGCCGTGAGAAAAACTCGTTCACTTTCGTTCGGTGTATTAACCGTGACTTGCACACTGACGAATCGCCGCTTGAAAAGACGATTTTAGAGAAGCGAACCGAAATATTCGTCGCAATCCACCTCGTAAGTATTCCCGTAAGTAGCTCCCGCGTAGACCGCTTTCACGTAATTTCAGTCTCGATCGTTATGTTCCTGCGGCTTTATTATTATAACATACCGTAAAACGTAGCGTACCAGCAACGTTACGGCCATGCAATAAAGAGAGGTTCTCGAACCGCACGATACTTATGGACGAGAGATAATCAATATAATCAATGATTGCTCAGACACGCTAATCGCAATCCCACTCAGGTGACATGATAATGCTTCATCTTAAACTGTTACGATAGCTCCGTTCTAACGCGACACGTATTCGTGCTAACGGGATTACGTAACGTGCGGTTTGTGTATCTGAACCGGAAGGAAGAAATCTGTAGAAAAAAAAATAAAAAAATAAAAAATACGACGCTCGCTTATTGTGGCCGCGCTTATTCCAGGCCTTGACCTTGGTGAAAACGTGCGAGCCGGTCGCCGAGATGCGAGAGTGCAGAGCGTCGCGGGACTGGTCTCTGTTGGCGTTGCAGAACGTGCGTACGGGAAAGTCTCACTATCTCGTAATATGCCGATGTCCCGACACAAACATACTCGGTGAGTGAAAAAGACTCCGAGCTTTCGATTAATCAATACAGTCCGACGGATTCTCATCGGCGCAATTTAATTTCGATCTTGGTTCAACTAGACTCTTCGTCACTTCTAGTTCGAAGAATTAAAGGAAAGATCAAGATCGAACTGAGATTAAAGTTCAACATCAGTTGGAACAGACGAATGTCTATTCGATCTGATTTTGAAGATCAACGTGTAAAATTCAGACTCAATATCAGAAGAAGGCTCTTGAATTCTCTTCATAATATATCCGTAACGTTACTCTAGCCGTTACTTTGTGTAACAAACAATTTGATAATGCAATGTTTTAACGCTAACTAATTAAAACTTAAAGTTGTGCTAAGATTGGAAAGTCATTTTGAACAGTTACCTGTCACCATTATGCATTACTTATTAAAAAAAGTAACGCGTGACATTACAGGTTACAGGTAACAATTGGACTTTTCCAACTCTGGTGTTACCATTGTCGTAAAAAAAATTTGCAACGTCATTACCAAATCGTTGTTACGGAAAGGTAACGATCGACAAAGTAACGGTGTTATAAGTAACGCGTTACTTCCCAACTCTGATCTGTGATTATCTAAAGATTAAAGGTTACCGAGAAATTTGTATAAAATTCATTCATGCATTTCTTGGTAACGGTCTTCTTTAATCTTTAGATAACCGTATATCATGAAAACGCTTTATATCCATATCAGACTAGAGATTGAGATCGAGATTGAACTTGATCAATCGGAGAGCAAAGTTCACTAAACTAGAAATTGATTTTCTTTCTTCTTTCGTCAAATTTAGTCTCAATCTCAATCTCTATTTCTGATACAGAACCATCGAATTTAATTTGATCTCGACAAAAGCAACGGTTTATATAAACTAATATCGCTTCTCGTTTTTTCACAGAGGGACCTATGAGCCACGATCAACCGACTTACGCCAGCGTCCCGGGTATTCGGGTGTACGGAATGATGTGCGTACAGGGAAACAGAAGGGGACGACCGCTACGATATTCGCGCAGTGTTTTTGGTAAGAAGGTTATTTCTAAACTCTAATATTGTTTTTTTTTTTTTCAAAAGCTTGTCTCGGATTTCTCTGATGAATTATAGCTAACATACGTTCGATGTGTTAAACAGGACACGCAGAGGATGAAGAAAAACCACGTTTCCCTTGGGACAAGGTGCGACAGTTATTGACGACGCCGTCTCTCTGGGAATAGTTTCGCGATGCGATGTCCCATCCTGTATCTCTGCCATCGACGAACTTACGCGTTAATTTATAATGCTATTATATTTATAATTCTCCCAGCCATTCGAATCCCATGCCCGAATCTCTCTTCATCTTCCTACCATTTCCCTCTTATTACTCTCACGCTTCCGTAACCCTCGAACGGGCGCACCATGATGTATATAAATTAATATAAATTACTATTAATTAATTCTTAATTTCATACCACGTAATTTTTCGTTCAAAGAATTATTTTAGCTCTATCTGCATCGATTAATTATTGATCACAAAAAGTCGAGTCGGAGGTAAAGTAACTTTTAGAAACTTTTCAAACGCAAACATCAGCGTGTCCGCACGAGGGTTAACAGACACGATAGGACGAAATCGCCTATGTCACTTGTATTCTCATCTTTATATATATTAATTACTCGTTTTAAGCATATTTATTATTCATGACTTCTATATTATATTTATAATTTTAGCCATCGATTAATTACACATGACATATACAAACTGCAGTGAGGAAGACAAACGGCTTCGCCGCTTACTCAAATGTAAAGAGCTGTCCGATTGCGCGTAATATTAAAAAAGAAAAAAGAATAGGAATATATTTGGCATCTGAACTTTCGACAAACAAGATCTTAAAAAAAAATCTATATTCTTTCCTCATTACCAAAATACGAAGTAAAATATGGTAATTACTATATATTCCAAAAGTACTTGTTCATTTTTTCAAGAATCACAATATTAATCTGACTCTGATTAAAAAATGAGAAATATCGATGTAGATATTTTAGGTCACGTATTTGCAACTACGTGACTAAACAAAAGCTCGGAGATGTAGTACGTGCTCGATCGTATTTAACGATATTCTAGATTATACGAATACGTGAGAGTAATTAATCAGTATCATTATACATTAACAATTACTCACCGAGTACGTCGGAGTTGACTAAAACGCTACAGCTGTACATCGCCGTCATCAGTCGGGGGTGTCGCAGGCTGAAAATCCGTCGACAAGCCTCTTTACACGCCGACATTAATTGACCGCCCAAGTGTCCCTGACTCTGGCCACTGGAATCGCTGCAACGTTTCGTACATCTTATATCATTCTTTTTTTACACTCGTGTATTTAGTGTCTATTAAATTCTTCAATAACACAGCTAAATACGACTTCTATATTATATATTTATATATATTTACATTTACACAGGGTGTCTCGAAATGTTTTGCCGAGTGTTCTTGTGTAGACAGAGCAGACTAAATTATAAGTCGAAAAGTCCTTTACCCTTTTGCAATTTTCACAATAGTTAACAAGATATTAATTACTAAAATTCACCAAATATTGGTCTTCAATTTTTTTTTTTTTTTTTCATAAAGTTCTGAGAATTTTTTCGAAATTTTCTCAGAATGTTTTAATACCGTATTTCCTCATGTTGATAAAAATAAGAAAATGCAGTACTAAAAAAGTTGATAAAAAATTCTGAAAAAATTCTTAGAGTGAGAAAATTCTATGAGAAGAAAATAAACAATTTTTGTTTCTCGCTGTTTTTCTATAAAGTTGATAGTATTTAAGTAAAAAATTATTGAACACCAATATTTTTAATAATTAATATCTTGTTAATTATTACGAAAATTGCAAAATGGTAGAGAGCTTTTCGACTCAATTTAGTCCGCTCTATCTATACAAGAACGCTTGGTAAAAAATTGTGGGACATTCTGTGTACTTATATATATTTATTTATATATATATATGTACTTATCTTCCAGAAAGCAAGCAGTTGCAATGCACATATTTACTTTGTTGTAAGAGTATTTCTTGGTCGCAGATGTCGATTCAAGACATTTATTTTTATGTAATAATTATTATAGTGCGAATATTTATTAATTATTAATGCATATTTACCTTTGTGGAGTCTCAAAAATTTCCCACTTCTTCAACACGAAGCAGACGCCCATCATAGGCTCCTCGCATAAGGGACCAGCCAGAGTAGCAAGTTGGAATCCATTGACTATACTATTATCGTATCTGAAAAATTTATATAGCAAATATATATTATTATTCGAAATAAGTTTCAAGGAAGTAGTCAAAGTATGTATCTTGTTCATATTTATTTTTTGCATTATATGTTATAACATCTATCATTACGATAAATTTACATTTAATAAATTATGTTTCTCGAACGTTGGTTTCAAACGAAATACATATGTACAATAAGAAGCTTTTGCATCAATATTTTTTGAAATACTTACGCTGCTCGGGAATCGACATTCGTGTTTTGCTGCTCCCAGAATTTCTTCTGCGTGTAATCACTCTCGTTCAATAAGATATTGGGCCCGCATTTTCGTGGACCAAATGACCATATTTTATCCATTACATTATCCTTCCATCCCGCTTCGAGAAAAGCTGTCTCCAATTCATTCTTGAATACTTTTGCTTCCTTCTGCTTCTTATCAGGCATGGATCTCTCGTTGAGTTGATTCTCGCCAGCAATAGCCTCGTGCTCCCCATTCTCCTTTGTGTATCTGTCGCAGTAACTATCCAACAACTTTATCAGATTTGCATTTTTCTCTAATAATTTTGTTATGTTTTCCGGAAGAGGTTTCGTGTCTATCTCAAAACAACACTGCCGATTTGACGTCCAGACTTCAAGGTTTACTTCCGCCGCCTTCTTCTCGATCGCCTCATTCACCATGTCGAGTTTCGGAGGTGGCACTACGGTTTCGCGAAATGGCACGATCGGATCAGACACGTTAATATCGATTTTGGCGTATCTCAGCTTGAGATCCTCCAAGCATCTCTCCAGATGAACTTCACCTGCGGTGCTCAGGACGATCTCACCAGTCTCTTGTATGTGAACGATGGCGCAGGCATCCGCTTGGTTCAATAGTTTCAAACCGTTGATGAGCTTTGGCAAGTCGTTGGGATGTTTCGGTTCCAGGGCTACTCTCAATATAGGAACTGCGAGAGAGGTTAATTCTGTGAACGAAGGACACGCAATTGTCGTTGAAAGAGTCGCGGTCTTCAAAACGTGCTCTTCTAGGCTACCAATTCCGAAAACATTACCCGCTGGTACCTTATTTACAGCCTCGAGCTCTCTTCCCATAAGAATGTACAATTTATTTACAGTCACCTTCGTAATATGTCTGCCGAGCTTCAGATCCTTCAGCACGTGGGAAGGATCCACCTTCTCACCCGCTTTCTCGCGTTCCAAAGCAATAGAGGGATTATGCTTTGGTCCTAAAACGAATACCTCATCTCCAATCTTTATAGTTCCCGAATATATTCTGGCGAAGGCTACTAATGTGCCGTCCAATTTATCCTCGATAACATCCTCATGGTTTATGTTATTGGAGACTATCGTATCGAACGTATCTTCTTTGGTATCTTTGGTGGCTTCGTGGTTTTCAATGGCAGTACAAGTTTTTTTCTCCAGTCGCTCTG